CCCAATTTGTAACCCTTTGAAAATAAAGTTTGTTTTGTTTGTTTTTACCTGGCCGAATACAGAGACATAAAGAGACAAGGAAACATTTTTGTAATAGACTGTGGAAGGAATGTGAAAGTTAACAAAGAGTCGCCTTAGCAAATGTTGGCATTTTCAAATGTAGATACTGCTATGTTGATGACGTCATGGAAATATTTAGGTAGTAAACGTGACCTGTGGCCCGGAATGTAACAAAGTGTAACTGGGTCACCGTGTTTCCTGGTCTGTTGGAGGCAGCAGCCAGTAACAACCACGTAACAACAAGTGGGTGTGAACGTGTGTGTTCACAGTAGCGTAACTAGGGTATGACAGGCAGGGCCGATACACTGGGCGCTGCTGGAGACGGCGTGCCAGAACAGTTGTTTTGTTTTGTCTAAAGAGGCAGCGTCTCGTCTAGAAGCCCCAGAAAGTGTTATGTTGTTGAAGGTTAGAAAGGCGCTTTAGGGGGAAAGTGTGTTTTAATAGGCGTTTTAGGGGGGAAAGTGTGTTTTAATAGGCGTTCTCGGGGGGAAAGTGTGTTCTATTAGGCGTTCTAGGGGGGAAAGTGTGTTTTAATAGGCGTTCTAGGGGGGAAAGTGTGTTTTAATAGGGGTTCTAGGGGGAAAAGTGTGTTTTAATAGGCGTTCTAGGGGGAAAGTGTGTTTTAATAGGCGTTCAAGGGGGAAAGTGTGTTTTAATAGGCGTTCAAGGTTATATCTGTCCCACATAAACGCCACTAGAACATGCTACTTGGGACTGATGGCCTAACACCTCTGGGAAAACATTGCCTGTCAGATATCGGGCAATCACAGTTAGCAGATGACCAATGTTTGTTACAAGAAGAAGAACAAAAACTACAACAACATGTTGATTCATTGCTCACTAACTGTACAAAATTTGACATAAAAAACACCTCAAAAACTGAAGTAATGACCAAAGGAAAGAAACACAGTAACGTAAACATAAAGATCAATGACATACAATTAGAACAAGTTCAAGAATTCAAGTACTAAGGATGCATATTTACAGAAGATGGAAGACTCGATAAAGAGATACAGGCTAGAGTTCAAAAAGCCAATGCAGTCAACTACCAACTGGCTCCACTTCTTCGTCATCCAAAGATCTCGTTACCAGCCAAACAACGGATGATCAACAGCATTTTCATCCCTACGTTACGTTATCAGTGCCAAACGTGGACAATGAACAAATCACATATGCAAAAAATAACTACGTGTGAAATGCGATGTCTCCGAAGAGTCACCAACAATACACGAAGAGACAGAGTCACAAACGTCAGCATTAGAGACAAAGTTGGAACAAGAGCATGCATGGAACATATTGAAAGACAGAAAATGAAGTGGTTTGGTCATTTAGTAAGAATGCACCCGGATCAGATTGCCTAAAAGGCCTTTAACAATAGAACATCGGGAAGAAAGGCCAGAGGAAGACCCAGGAAAAAATGGATAGATGGAGTAGCTGAATACGGCCAGAAGATCCAGAAAACTGTCACTCAAATCACGCGAGAGGCACAAAACAAATATTTTAAACCACAGCACTGGGCTACAACCCGGTAAAGGTGAAGAAGACAATAGATAGATAGATAGATAGATAGATAGATAGATAGATAGATAGATAGATAGATAGATAGATAGATAGATAGATAGATAGATAGATAGATAGATAGATAGATAGATAGATAGATAGATAGATAGATAGATAGATAGATAGATAGATAGATAGATAGATAGATAGATAGATAGATAGATAGATAGATAGATAGATAGATAGATAGATAGATAGATAGATAGATAGATAGATAGATAGATAGATAGATAGATAGATAGATAGATAGATAGATAGATAGATAGATAGATAGATAGATAGATAGATAGATAGATAGATAGATAGATAGATAGATAGATAGATAGATAGATAGATAGATAGATAGATAGATAGATAGATAGATAGATAGATAGATAGATAGATAGATAGATAGATAGATAGATAGATAGATAGATAGATAGATAGATAGATAGATAGATAGATAGATAGATAGATAGATAGATAGATAGATAGATAGATAGATAGATAGATAGATAGATAGATAGATAGATAGATAGATAGATAGATAGATAGATAGATAGATAGATAGATAGATAGATAGATAGATAGATAGATAGATAGATAGATAGATAGATAGATAGATAGATAGATAGATAGATAGATAGATAGATAGATAGATAGATAGATAGATAGATAGATAGATAGATAGATAGATAGATAGATAGATAGATAGATAGATAGATAGATAGATAGATAGATAGATAGATAGATAGATAGATAGATAGATAGATAGATAGATAGATAGATAGATAGATAGATAGATAGATAGATAGATAGATAGATAGATAGATAGATAGATAGATAGATAGATAGATAGATAGATAGATAGATAGATAGATAGATAGATAGATAGATAGATAGATAGATAGATAGATAGATAGATAGATAGATAGATAGATAGATAGATAGATAGATAGATAGATAGATAGATAGATAGATAGATAGATAGATAGATAGATAGATAGATAGATAGATAGATAGATAGATAGATAGATAGATATAGATAGATAGATAGATAGATAGATAGATAGATAGATAGATAGATAGATAGATAGATAGATAGATAGATAGATAGATAGATAGATAGATAGATAGATAGATAGATAGATAGATAGATAGATAGATAGATAGATAGATAGATAGATAGATAGATAGATAGATAGATAGATAGATAGATAGATAGATAGATAGATAGATAGATAGATAGATAGATAGATAGATAGATAGATAGATAGATAGATAGATAGATAGATAGATAGATAGATAGATAGATAGATAGATAGATAGATAGATAGATAGATAGATAGATAGATAGATAGATAGATAGATAGATAGATAGATAGATAGATAGATAGATAGATAGATAGATAGATAGATAGATAGATAGATTAGATAGATAGATAGATAGATAGATAGATAGATAGATAGATAGATAGATAGATAGATAGATAGATAGATAGATAGATAGATAGATAGATAGATAGATAGATAGATAGATAGATAGATAGATAGATAGATAGATAGATAGATAGATAGATAGATAGATAGATAGATAGATAGATAGATAGATAGATAGATAGATAGATAGTTAGAGCTTCAGAGGAAACTGGTCAATCAACAAATACTCGGTTGCTATGCCAACAAAACCCAAAGAATATCCAACACTGTCCTTTGTGACAACACTGTCCTTTGTGACAACACTGTCCTTTGTGACAACACTGTCCTTTGTGACAACACTGTCCTTTGTGACAACACTGTCTTTTGTGACAACTTTGTCTTTTGTGACAACATTGACACTGACTGCTGTCTGCGCACAGGCAATAACAAACACAAGTATCAAACGCATACGGCAGCTTTGAGAAGTGCCAACACAAACAGTCCGCCACTAGAAATGCAGGTGATCGTCAATGGAAGCGGCAGTACAACAGATCAGTAGCTGTGCAGGTAATTAATCTCATTATCTCAAATGGCACCGCCATTTCTCGGACAACAGACCACTGGCCATTTTCTCAGTCTCTATTTGCTAACACAAACCAAGGTCGACAAGCAGTCCACAAGAAATCCGAAGTTCAGTGTGTCGCTTCATGTATTCACCCTAGCAGCTGGGCGACGGAACTGTAGCCAATCAGTCTAGATATGGAGGAACATGCAATGGCTAACTATTATCAGAAGCCAAAAATTGCCATTACTGAAATTAGTCAGCCAGTCAATCCGCCATATCGAACACAGACAGGACCGGATAGTCGATGACCGAATAGGCGGGGAGACAATGTGATCATGAGCAAACTTTTGGTATGCACAAGCAAGCTTTTTCTTGTTTTTCGTTCAAGGTAATGCCACTGTTAAAGCAATCGTGCTGTTTACAAAGTAATGCCACTGTTATATCAATCGTGCTGTTTACAAGGTAATGCCACTGTTATATCAGTCGTGCTGTTTACGAGGTAATGCCACTGTTATATCAATCGTGCTGTTTACAAAGTAATGCCACTGTTATATCAAATGTTCTGTTTACAAGGAATTGCCACTGTTATATCAATCGTGCTGTTTACAAGGTAATGCCACTGTTATATCAATCGTGCTGTTTACAAGGTATTGCCACTGTTATATCAATCGTGCTGTTTACAAGGTAATGCCACTGTTATATCAATCGTGCTGTTTTGACACTAAATGATTTCTCAGAGCTTTTAAAAAGCTAAATCCACTAAAACATGCATGAATAAATCTAAGCCATTTGTTTTGAGAACAGCTCAGAAAATGCTCACTGCCCCTCTGTTTACAACGGTTGCCATTCAGCTTGAATCATGTTTACCTTTCATTGGCATAAATTTGATTATATTAACCTCATATTATTTTAGATCGGACATTGTTTCATTCATACTGTCATAGACTAAACAATGTTTACTCCCATCTGGCGTAGAATGGACAATGCTTTGACTTGAATCACGTGGTTGAATATTGTGTTATTTGTTTTCGGCTTTCTACGACTTCTAAAAATCATTAAATATCTAAAGTTTACCATAAACAAAACAGTGGAAATACCCAAACAACAAGTTGAAGACAGTGATAGCTTCTCAAGGTTCGTGGAAATTCCCAAACAACAAGTTGAAGACAGTGATAGCTTCTCAAAGTTCAAGGACATCCCAAGGAAGGGACATTTTCTCGTCTGTGTAAACATACTTAACTTTGACCTTTGAGGGCGCGTTTGTGGCTGAGATAATATTCCAGCAAAGTCGGGCTGTCCACAGCAAATAGAGAAGAAAATACAAAAACCATGTCCTTCAAAAAAAAAAAAAAAATAATGAATGTTTCAGAAGGTTGAAAGTGGATCTGACCCGGAAATAAAAACCTCTTACCTTGACATTTGGCGATGACTGGCGGGATGGTGGCCAAAATTGGCGGGATCAGGTGGCTGCCGAAAAAGGCAGCGATGAAAGAAACGACAGTGTAGGGCATCCAACATCCCAGGAAACTCACTGTGAGTGGATAAAACATCCAGGTCATCGTTGAGAAACATGTGACGGCAAGAAAACATCTGGGATAAGTTAGACAAGGATGTGACGGCAAGAAAACATCTGGGATAAGTTAGACAAAGATGTGACGGCAAGAAAACATTTGGGATAAGTTAGACAAAGATGTGACGGCAAGAAAACATCTGGGATAAGTTAGACAAGGATGTGAGGGCAAGAAAACATCCGGGATAAGTTAGACAAAGATGTGACGACAAGAAAACATCCGGGATAAGTTAGACAAAGATGTGACGGCAAGAAAACATCTGGGATAAGTTAGACAAAGATGTGACGGCAAGAAAACATCTGGGATAAGTAAGACAAGGATGTGACGGCAAGAAAACATCTGGGATAAGTTAGACAAAGATATGATGGCAAGAAAACATCTGGGATAAGTTAGACAAAGATATGATGGCAAGAAAACATCTGGGATAAGTTAGACAAAGATGTGACGGCACGAAAACAAATGGGATGAGGCAAACAAAGATGTGACGACAAGAAAACATTTGGGATAAGGCAGACTAAGATGCGACGATAAAAAACATCGATTCACCTCTGGTTTTTTTCACCGACTGGTTACATTCCAACATTACACAACATTGCCAGGTAGGCGCCATGTAATGTGATGACATAAATTACCTCTATTGTCTGTAATGTCTAGTTTTATTAATGTAGGCAAAAACTGCATGTTATAACAAGACAAACATCTAATGTAATATCTCTGTGTCATGGGAGGCTAGAAAGAAATCTCGCCCGTTCTTTGTAGAGCCAGTTTTAACTTTGGCTGTGAAACTGACCAATTAATAAACCAACAAACAATTTCTCGAGGCCTTGGAGAAGTGGTTTTACAGAAGAATGCTCACAACTCAGTGGACAGAAAAAGTGAGAGCGCGAAGACAGATCACAAACATTATAAAGAGACAGTCATTATATGTTGTTTGTTGTCTAAAAAAGAACGACCAATGAAAAGATGTGTGGGAAAAGGCACAAAAGAAAGCCAACATGAGACTTCCGATCTGAGCACATGAACACAACTGGGCGGCTTGCAAACGTATTTGAGTTGACGGTTCACAGCTAAAGAAGAGATTTAGTCAACTTGATGGGTTGTGTTCCATTTCAGCATCTTCATAAGACAATTCAGTTGATGGGTGTTCTCTCATGCGCATACACATGGATCGGCAGAATCATCTTGCGCTCAGTCTGGTCTGTGATAACTGGACATGGACTACACAAATTCTACTTGTAAACAGGTTGTTCGAGAATTGTAAGACAAAAACCGCCAATAGTTTGTCATGCAACCAGTCAACAATTATTTGATCTGTTGAGCACCACATTTATATCTGGCAATTGGCAGTTCTCTTGAATAACCGCACCCACGCACAACAACCTACACACATTGTCTTTATTGCTACAGCTCATGTTGAGGTATCCAATGTCCTAGAGCAAGCAACAGAATCTCAGATATTTTCAAAATTAAAGATTCTTATTTCGCAGACTAATAATTTTAGACTAAAACAAGCCAAATATCATATTACTCACGGACAATCAGCACGGCTGTCTTCAACATCTTTCTCTCAATGGCCAGATTTTTCCGCGCCACGCGGCTATTCATGTCCCAGACGGAGTTTTTATTCAGGTTCCGCAGCTGAAACAGGAAGACAAACAGTCGTAATACAACAGGGACCTCGGCCTCAGAGCTGAAATGATTTTATTGGACTCTAAAACATTCATTCATGAATTTTGTATCATTTAAAATTTGTAATACTTCAGTTATGAACAGGCTTCACCCAGGGAAAATTGAACGTGGGCCCTAAATATTCCATTACAGTTTTCTACGGCCACAGCAGTTTCTTCTGTATGACGGTGCCACGATTGCACTTGTCAACCTATGTGGGCAGGCAACATTTTAATTGTGAACCTGTGTGTACAGGCAACCTTTTACGTGTGAACCTATGTGGGCAGGCAACCTTTTATTTGGGAACCTGTGTGGGCAGGCAATCTTTTACTTGTGAACCTGTGTGGACCTAGGCAAGTTAACACTTGTGAACCTGTGTGGACCTAGGAAATTTAACACTTGTGAACCTAAGGTAGCAGGTTACCTTTTACTTGTGAACCTGTATGGACCTAGGCAAACTAACACTTGTGAACCCATGTGTACAGGCAACTTTTTAGTGTGACCCTGTATGGACCTAGGCAAGTCAACACTTGTGAACAAATGTGTACAGGCAACCTACCGTTGACAGGACTCCCCAGTATGAGTAAAACATGACTGCTAACGGCACCACCAGGCAGAAGATAAAGATGACGTAGATGTAGCTGGTGTACAGCGGGTCGTCTGTCTCCCAGATGACGC